TGTCTTTAAGCCTAAGAAGAACTTTAAGAAGAACTGAAAAAAAATTTTTTTTTTTTTTTTTTTTGCTTTTTGGGTCACACCCGGAGATGCACAGGGATTACTCCTGGCTCATGAACTCCGGAATTATTCCTGGCAGTGCTCGGGGGACCATATGGGATGCTGGGAGTCAAATCCGGGTCAGCTGCATGCAAGGCAAATGCCCTACCCACTGTGCTATTGCTCCAGCCCCGTAAAAATATTTTTAAGCAGTTAGGGTACATGCCTGACATGCGCCTTACCTGGGTTTGGTTCCCAGCATCACAGGGTACCTGAGCATCTCCAGGTGCAGTCCCAGAGACTCCCTCAGCACCTCCCAGATCGCCTGGATGTCCCCAGCATGGCAGGGCCCAAGCAGCATCATCGCCTCAGGCCCTCGCACTGAGCTGACAGCTGAGAATTGCTTGTGGGGCCCAAGTATGAGCACTGCTCAGAGAACCCCACTGACACCTCACAAATAATGCAGTCATCTTGTGTTGGTTATTAGTGACTCATAAAATAATGCAGTTTCTACTGGAAGTCCTAAATGTTAGCTATTTATGGGAGATAGGCTGTCGGTGGACCAGATGGGGAGGCCAGGGACCCTGCTATCTCCTGTGGTCAACGAGTTAAGCTGAGAGAAGCTGCAGTGTGGGAGAAGCAGCCTATGTGGCATGCAGAAGCAGGCAAGCAGGGTGTAGGGTGGCTGTGCATCTGATCCCCCCCAGTGCTCCAGAGTCCTGCCCTCGACCCGGACTTGGGGGAGGGCTGAGGCTGATGGGGGAGAAGCAGGCCCGGGATTCTGCCTCAGTACAGCACTGAGCCCGTGGAGGTGCTGTGATACACAGATGCGATTAGAGGTCTGAGAGCCTTGGTTCGGGCAGAGTTGGCAGGGTTTTGTTGCAATCCTTTGTCCAATTTGTTCACCAAATGCAGAACACCGGAGGAGGGCTTCCCTCCCTTGGAACTGGAAGTCACGGTTTGGACCCGCATTAAAGGACAGAGTCAAGCTGATGAGACGGGGCTGAAAATAGACTCGTGCAGGAACGTCTTCCAGCTCCGGCAGAGAAGTGTTGGGAGCTGGACACCGTTCAGTGCTGGGCGGGGTGCTGCAGAGGGCTGTGCGGGCTTGGAGGAACGGAGAGGGTTCCTCTGCGTGGCTACGTCTGGCGGGGGAGGGGGGTGAGGCCTGGGTGCTCAGGCCCCTTGAGGGGTTGACTCTGAATGCAGCAGTTCCCGCCTCGAGGCTGGCGCTGTGCCAGCTGCCCTGGGAATGGGCCAGTCACTGGTCCTTCCCTCTTGCTGCGGCAACCCCACCGCCAGCGCTCGTCATCGCCAGTCGGAGCTGCCCCTTTATCGGGCCTGATCAGCTCCGAAACGCTGTTTTTCCTCCCCCCACCCCTCCTGCCCCTTCATGCAGCCTATTAATTAGTGCCAGCGGACGCCCCACTCTCATGCCCCCTAACCTTGCCTCCCTCTTCAGCGTCTGCTTAATCTCTGACTGCTCCTTGGCGTCGCTGCCTCTCCCTGAGAGGTGATTACAGGCCTGGCTGTGCGGACCCCCTGCCCCTGCTGCCCCGTGGCTACTGCCTGGCCGGATGCTCTGTCTTGATTAGCCCTTCGCTCCCCCTCTTCCCTTCCCTGCCTCCCCACCGCTGGGGCCTGCTGGGGCCCTGGAGGTGAGCATTCCCCCCAGCCGGCCCCTATGGGAAGCTCTCGCACCTGCTCTCCGGCACTGAGAGCCCAAGCGGGCAGAGGATCCCCTCCCCTCCCCTCCCTCCCTTCCAAACCCGTCAGCTTGTTCTGGGTCACTTGACGTCCTTACACACCAGACAGCCAAGTTGGGTCTGTGCTGCCTCCATATCTGTTCCCACTGTGTGATCCCTCTTCTTTTTTAAATTTTTATTTTTATTTTATTTTTTTGCTTCGTGGGTCACACCCAGCAGTGCTCAGGAATCACTCCTGGAGATGGGCCGCCAGGGATTGAACCCGGGTCCGCTGCGTGCCAGGCAAACGTCCTCCCCACTATCCTATTGCTCTGCCCCTCCTGGAGTGTGCCCCCTTTTGTTTGTTGTCTCAGCGTTCATATAAGATGCCAGGGCTTCTGAGTAATGCTTTCTTCTTTCACCCCTTTGTCGGTAGCCAGCTCCTCACCCTCGGCCCGAATGGCCCAGCCGGCAGGACACTGCTCTGTCCTGCTCTCGGAGGTACTTAGTTTTTCATTCATTTTCCTTCTGGGATTCGTCCACAGCCCCGACTCAGGGTGGACTGTTAGAGCACCGCATGTGCTTGTGTGTTCTCCCAGCGGCATCTTATGAAGAGCCCTCACTGTCCATTGGAGGAAAGCGAGACTCAGACTCCTTAAACACACTCAGGTCCACACAGCTTACGAGTGCCCGAGCCTGTCTTCAAGCACAGCCAAGCTCTGAGCCCCGCTATCTGCATGTTGTCTTTGCAAACAGAAAGCCACGATGCCCAGACTCCAGAAGGCCCAAGGAGCCCAGTGCGCCCCAGAGCCAGGCTCCAGGGCCACTGCCCTGGTGCCCAGTGCCCAGTGAGCTGCCGCGTTAGTCCTGTCCTTCACCCCTGGAGGGGCAGTGGGTTGCTGCAGGGCTGGGAACACAGAGGGGCTTTCTGCCAGCCAATGGGAAGTGACAGCTCAGGCCTCTGCCCCAGCATCATCTGCTCCCGCTAAGACAATCATCAACATAAAAGGCTAATAGTATTAATCACCAGCCCCCTTCCTTTCTGGAGAGTTATGAATTGCAATGCAGATGGCTCTGCTGATTGAAGGCTGCGCCCAGCGGGGAGAGCGGCCAGATCAGATTACACACCATTAATTAAAAACTTCCCCTGACAAATGGGAGCAAGGGAGTGCACACGAGGGTCTGCCAGGCTGGGTCTCTGTCCCGCTCACCACCCCCGGGGGCTGGGGCTGAGCCTCTGGGCAGCCCTGCCTCCTCCTGCGCCTCACTTCAGTCTCACCAATTCCTCTCTTCCCTTCCAGCTTGTCCATTCTGTTCTGACAGCAGCACCGCTCTCCTCCTGTTTGTGAAAATAGTGCTCAGATCTATCACCCTGACCTTTTGTTTGTTTTTGTTTGCGGTGCTCAGGCCTTTCTCCTGGCTCTGTGCTCAGGGATCACCCCTGCAGGGACAGAGGTCGCAGTTGCTCTGGGGCGGCGATCAGGGACCAGTGTGGTGGCACCCGGTTCCCTCCCACCCACCAGCCTAGACGCGTGTGGAACTGTACCTCCTGAATTCTCTTGATCAATGACTGCCTCCCCTCCCTCCTCGGCCGCCCAGCCTCCGTCATTCATTCATCAAACTTTTATTGAGCACTCAGTGTGTGCTTGGCTCTGGAGACACGGAGATAAATTGTCGCAGAGCTGGAGAGCCTTCTGCAGGGGCCTCCGCCCCCTGCCCTCGGCAGGCAACCTTCTCCTTCCAGCGTCCCTCCTCCCTCCCCTCCTCCTCCCCCCAGCTCTCTTCCTCAGCAGGAAGATTCTCAGCTAAGAGCAGGGGAGAGCTTATGGGTCTGTGGTCTGAGCTGTGTAACCTTTAGCAATCCAAGTCTCATCCTTCACACACACATGCATGCACAGCTATTCTTGCTTATAAAAGGGTGCAGAAAGCCCCAGATTCCAAAAGGCTGTAAAATGAATGAGCAGGGCCCAGCTGGTAGGGACTGGCCAGCATTTGGCCCTGGCAGCCTCAGCACAGGCGGGAGCACCTGCCTCAGGCCTCTGGGCTGCCACGTGCCTCCCGCAGCCCCTTGGGAGACAGGCAAAGGACCTGCCTCTCTTTTTTATGGATTTTTTGGTTGCTGCATCACAGGGTACCATGGTGATGGGTGCCATAGAGATGAGAACTGACTTGACTGGCTCGTCTCTTCATTCCAGGGTCCCTCCGCAACCTCCCCTCCACCCTGCTTCAAGCTCTCACAGAACTCCAGGTCAGGAGAGAAGGAGCCTGGCCTGCTAAATGGGGCAGAGAAAAGGAGAAAAACCTGCTCTCTCCCGCCCTCTCTCTCCATCTCCCACTCTCCCTCCCCTCCTCCTTGCCATTACCAAGAGCAATTGTGTTCAAACCCTATAATTACATAACAGCCACAATAATCATTTATTGGCATTGTTTTTCCGAGTATTTTTACTTCCAGAAACATTTCCCAATCTCGTTTATTTTCACAGCATTTGTGGCTGTGGAAGGATTGTGCCCATTTTACAGCTGGGAAAGGGAGACTCCAGAGAGGATCCTGAAATCTGGACGGAGCAGGTGGTTGACGGCAGCGTGGGTATCAGCAAATCCACGGAGACATGGGGGCTTCCAAAAGGCCTGGCCTGTAAAACTCAGTTTCCAGAGTCTAGAATTCCTAGTTCTCTGCCCCTTGGAATTGTGGCTTTGCAGAACCCAGGAGAGCCGAGAATGAGACTGGACCGAGGAGTGCAGTGGGGACTGTTGCTCTCAGGATTGTTCCCATGAGTAGGCTGGGACAAACTGGGGGCAGCGTCTGGTTTCTGGCCGTGCCCCCTACCTGCACCCCAGCCTTGGGCTGGCCACGGGAAAGTGTGCCCCTTGGTACCGACTCTTCAGGACGCCGAATCCTGAACCTCACAGCAGAGAGGGAGAACATACGCCAGGCTGATTCTTCCGTGCAGTAACCCTCCCCAGGGTGGGGCGAGAAACCGGGGTGCCCTGAGGTTCCTGAAGCCCTCAGTATGCAGAGTGGCTCCCTGGACTCCATTCCCTTTGGATGTGGGGATTAGGGTCCAGGCTGGTGAGCAAGGGGGTAACAATGGTGAGTTCCTGCCTCCCTCTGCTCCGGCACTCAAAGGAGGGAGCTCAACCGATCTGCTCCCCAGAGTCCATCTGGAGACCCAGAGACAGGGCCTGCCCCCCCCTCACCCACCCTGCCAGAAAGAGGCCAACCTCCTCATCCTCCCATGCTAACCCCCTGGAGAACCTCAAGTCCACCATGACAGGCCTCTACGCACTCTCCATCTCGACGTCCTCTGAAATCGTCGGGTCTTTCTTCTGGGGTTCCACCCCTCCCACTTGCTCCGCCTTGGCCGTGCCCGTGAAGATGGCCAGTCGCTGGGCCAGAGTTTTAGCATCAGGAAACAGTATGAAGTTGTAGATTAGCGAAGCCAGGATGGCGCCGGTCAGGGGTCCCACCCAGAAGATCTGGGAATACACAGAGAGGGGAAACCCCGCCTGTGAGCCTCCTGGGTCTTGGGGGACCAGGGAGGTGGTCTGGGCACTGGCCCCTTCCTGAGGGTTGAATTGTTCTCCCAGGAATCACAGGTGTCTCCCAGGCCCTGAGCAGCAGGGGTCCTGCCATCCCCCGCTCCAGGTCTGTGAGCTGATGGGCTCTCCCTCCTACCACCCTGCCCCCGCCTCTTGGCCCCCTGTTCTCTCCAGGAGCACCAGCAGTGCTTTTTGGGTCACACCCGGAGAGGCTCAGGGCTTACTCCTGCCTCTGCACTGGGGAGTCACCCCTAGCGGTGCTCAAGGGACCATACTGGATGCTACAGATCAAACCCAGGTCAACTGCGTGCAAGGCAGATTCCCTACCCACTGTACTATCTATCGCCCTGCCCCCAGTTTCTTCCTCAATTTGGCTTCTCCCTCGTTTTGAGTTTGAAAAGTGGTCCGGTAGAGAGAGGGAGGACGCTGCCAGGGCTTGCGGCCAGGGCTTCACAGCCATCCCCATCTCAGTCTGGCCAGTCTACTCAGTACCAGGGCTATTGAGGTTGGACCAAAGGCGAAGGGAGACTCGCCCTGGGCCTCTGAGCCTGGGAAACCTTCCTGGGGGCCATGATAGTCTGGGGGGGGGGGGCAGGAGGGGGCACCGGCCTTCCCAAGTGTTTGTAGATCCACAGCTGGCTCCTTCCTCCAGGGCCCCAGCAGGAGGCCTCGTCCAGGGACCAGAGATAGTTCAAGGGTTAAGGTACTTTCCTTGCACACAGCAGCCAACCCCACGATACCACATACTGTCCCCCAAGCAAGGCCGGGTTCACTCCTGAACACCCACCCGCGCCCCCCAAAAGAAGAGAAGCTCTCACCCAGTGGACAGCGAACTTCCCGACAATGACAGCAGGGCCGAAGGAGCGGGCTGGGTTCATGGAGCAGCCAGTGAAGTAGATCTGGGGTGGGGGGGCAAGTGTGGGTTCAGGCCTGGGAGGACACAGTCTCCAGGCTGGCTTGGGCGCTGGGGACGGGCGGGCACACAGTGCCCCTCTGTGCCTTACCCCGATGAGGTGGCCCAGCGCCACGGAGATCCCAATCATGGCAGCGGGGGAGCCTGAGGCCTGGCGACTGTCGGTGGATGCGAAGACGCAGAGCACCAGCTGCAGGGTCAGCACCAGCTCCACGGCCACTGCCTGGCCGTTCGACACGCTGCTGCGCACCTGGGTGAGGCAGACGCTCCAGCCACTGCCACTGGGCTCTGCCCTGGCTCCTCATTTCATGGGCATGGGGGTGCGCCCCTGCCAGCTCCTGGACTCGGGGTGTGGGGGGGACAGCCAAGGAGGCCTGCAGAAATGGCCAGTGCTCCATTCACCCACTGCTGGGATCAAGGGCAATGGTCGGGAGAAGCCTCAGGAGACAAAAGTCCCAGGAAAGATGGAGTGAGTGCTCCCTTCCACTCCCACGCACCCGCATGCTGTCCTCCTCCCATTAGCCGGTGTCTGCTGCCCCTGGAGCTGTCCCAGGCCCCTGTCCCGGGCCCCTCTCCTGGCCCAGCCCGCCACCCTTCCCCCTATACCTACCACATTGACCCCAAGAGTTTCTCGGACATCTCCCGGCGTGACCCCATACAGCAGAGCTGCTCCGGCCGTGGCCCCCGCCAGCTGGGCAGCTATGTAGACCAGAGCGCGGGGCAAGGAGATCTGGGAGCCCACGAGGAAGGCCAGGGTCACCGCAGGATTGACGTGGGCCCCGCTGGCCTTCCAGGTGACCTGCACCGCCATGGCCGTGGCCAGGTTGAAGGTGATGGCGATCTGCAGCACAGAGGGAAGCGCCGAGGGCCAGGGCATGGCAGAGCCCACGCCAAAGAACACGTAGAGCCCCGTGGCCAGGAACTCTGCGAACACGGCCTTGCTGATGGCCGTCCAGAGCTGGCATAGCAGCCGGCGGCCGCGGCCTCCTGCCGACGACTCCATACCCCCAGTCTCCGCTTCCCTGCGTCTGTGCTGGTGGCGTCTGTGTGCCCCGTGGAGAGGAAGGTGTGGGAGCATTTGGGGGCGGTGCTGAGGGGGAACTCACCTGACAGCCCGGGGGGTGTGGGGGGGCGAGTCCCACCCCACAGGCACCCAGCTGGAACCTCCAAGCTTCCGGGTGCAGGGCCAGGGCGCGTGCTTGCACCCCAGAGTGACCTGAGCCAGGGAGAGGCAGTTCAGCTGCCCAAGGCCAAGGCTTATTGGTCTCTGGGGAGCTTCTGTGCCTTTGGGTGGAGCATTCTATTCTGTTTTTGCTCTTTTTGGGTCACACCTGGCGATGCACAGGGGTTCCTCCTGGCTCTGCACTCAGGAATTACCCCTGGCGGTGCCCAAGGGACCACATGGATGCTGGGAATCGAACCCGGGTTGGCCACGTGCAAGGCAAACGCCCTACCCGCTCTGCTATTTTTTGTTTTGTTTTGTTTTGTTTTTTGGGTCACACCCAGCGATGCTCAGGGGTTATTCCTGGCTCTGCACTCAGGAATTACCTCTTGCGGTGCTCAGGAGACCATATGGATGCTGGGAATCGAACCTGGGCTGGCCGCAGCAAGGCAAATGCCCTACCCGCTGTACTATTTTTTTTTTTTTTTGCTCTCTGGGTCACACCCAGCGATGCTCAGGGATTTCTCCTGGCCCTGCACTGAGGAATTACTCCTGACAGTGCTTGGGGAACCATATGGGATGCCGGGGATCGAGCTCAGGTCGGCCACATGCAAGGCAAACGCCCTACCTGCTGTGCTATTGCTCCAGCCCCAAGCATTCTATTCTGAACCCCTAAACCTGTATGGGAGATAAAGGTCTCTGGGTCACGCCCTTACTCAGACGGCGGGTGTGGATGAAGCCAGCTTGACTTCAAGCTGGGCTGAAGGTCAAGCTGCTGCTCCCGGGCTGCTCAGGACAGAGGGTTGCGGGGAGGCTGTTCCTTCCACGGCGAGCCCCTCAGTGGCGGAGGCCAGGGGGGATTTTCCACTGGCTGCTTCCCCCACGTCCCGGGCCCCCTCCCAGTCTGTTCTCCTCCCGCTGCTCAGGGCCAGCACTGCTTCTCCCAGCTTCACACAGGGGCATGGGGGTGGAGCGAGGCCGGCCTTGGGTCACCCAGCCTTGGATTGTCTCCTCTTGTTTCCAGCAGAAAGTCAAGTGTTCTCTCAAAGGCGTTTCCCCTGGAGCGCCTGTGCCGACAGAGTCTTCTTCATCCCATCTGCGGGCACACGTGCCTGGCCAGCCGCTGTCCTCTGGCTGTCCCCAGACCGGTCTTTGCCCTCTGCTGCCGGCCCTGCTGCCAGCAGCCTCTGCCCACTTTCCCTGCTCCTGTACACGGTTCCAATCAATTCTCCACACTGCAGCCCAGTGATCTTCCTAAAATGCAAATCTGATCCTCTGCTCCCGGGCAAAATCCCTTCAAAGCTGGCTGTCCCCTCGGGAGCTCCACAGCTCCTCTACACCCCGGGGTTCTGTTCTCCGTCACCTCTAACCACCCTCTGCCTTCTCCTTGACCCTCTGGCTTCACCACAAGGTCAGTGATTCTAGATCATTCCAAGGTGCTTTCTCATAAGAGGAGTGTCTGCTCTTTCCACCAGTCCTGGCACGTACTCTGGGTAACTCCTAACTCCTCCTCAAGACACAGTTTCCACATGATCTCCTGCTGGCTGTGGACCCCCACCCCGCTCACCATGCCCCCACCACAGCCAGTCACCACCATGCTGTCATGGTGTCACAAAGTCCCCCAGTGAGGCAACGAGCCCCTTGGGGAGTGGAGCCAAGGAGCGAGCCAGGCTTGTTATCCGTGCTAGGGAGTGTCCTCGCCAGGGCACTGAACTGTATTTGTTAAGTAAGAAAAAAAAAAAAGTGGCTGGAGCTTCGTGGCCTCCCGGAGGCAGATGACTTTCCTATCTGCTTCTTCTCTGTTTTGTTTTTGCCTTAGACCCAGGCGCTGGACTGGCGCTGAGAAATTGTTAAGGGCATCCCCTCCGCTCTGACCCCAGGCCATGTCCCTGGGCAACCCCTCTCTTTCCAACCACATCTGTACTTTCAGCTGTTCTGGGTTCATGCTACCCTTCAACCCTGGACGTCTCACCTCCCTCGTGTCCACTTGCCCAGCCCAGGACCCTGTGCCCTTTGTGCCGAGCTCACTGCTGGGGGACGTGTCTCTTCAGGAGCTGACAGCGGCCATGGCCATCCAGCACCTCTGGCCTCAGGAGGGGTCTCGGCCCACCCAGCTGTCCTGCAACAAACACCCCATCTCACCACAGGGTCAGAGAACCAGACCTCTGAGTTCAGACCCACACACTTCCCACTCCATGCCCAGGCCAGAGCCGGGACATCATTCAGCGAACACCCCTCATTTCATCACCTTCCTGAAACCCAGACTACTCTGGCCCTCACCCCGCCCCCACCCCCCCAAGGCAAACAATCTTGAGAAATGTATGGGTTTTTTTTTTTTTTTGCTTTTTGGGTCACACCCAGCGATGCACAGGGGTTACTCCTGGCTCTGCACTCAGGGATCACCCCTGGCGGTGCTCAGGGGACCATATGGGATGCTGGGAATCGAACCCGGGTCAGCCGCGTGCAAAGCAAACGCCCTACCCGCTGTGATATCGCTCCAGCCCCAATCTTGAGAAATGTAAACCCTGAGGAGCTGCCTGCTGCCTTTGGGTGACCCGGGCCTCTGGCACGGGACCGGGGCCCAGATACCAGCTGGGCCATGTGCTCAGAGTTCCCCAAGGACCGGCAGCGCTGAGTGAGAAATATTTGCCAACTTGTTTTTCTTCAGAGACTTCTCTCCAGTTCAACGCTCCCTCGAAGCCTCCTCTGACGTCCGTCTCACACGGACTCGGGGCAGCTTTGGAGACAAGTTGGCTTGAGCAGACCTCCCTCAGAGCCTCTGCTGTTCCCGTATGGACCTGCCTGTTCTTCAGGAAATTCTCAGGAAAGAGTTCGGGGGCTGAGATCTGCTCTGAACACCACCAGGAGTGACCCCCGAGCACTGCTTAGGATGGTCCCCCCCCCCCACCTCCCCGCCAAATAAAAAAATGTAAAAACTTTGAAAAGCTCGGAGCCAGAGGGATAGCATAGCGGGTAGGGCGTTTGCCTTGCGCGCGGCCAACCTGGGTTCGGTCCCCGGCATCCCATATGGTCCACTGGGCACCGTCAGGAGTAATTGCTGAGTGCAGAGCCAGGAATAATCCCTGAGCATCCCTGGGTGTGACCCAAAAAGCAAAATAAATAAATAAAAATAAATAAATAAATACACTTATAAAAAAAAACTTGAAAAACTCAGAGAATAAAGGCATGGGGCTGTGAGGCAGTTGGGTGAGGGTGTGGGGGTGTGGAGTGGCTAGGACTGGGCTCCCCACCCCTCTTCTCCTGGGAGTCAGCTGGGGCTGGGCTGGAAGGCACTGGAGTGGCAACGGCTCCAGGATAAGAGACTCCCCGGGGGTCCACTCTTGGGCCTGAGGCCTGAGTAGGAGGGGAGCCACAGTCCCAGGCCCGGCTGCTCTGTCTGGAACAGTCCCCTGGGGAAAGAGCCTGGCCTGGGACAAAGTTTGTCAGCTCCTAGAGGGCAGGCCTTGCTCCAGCTCCACGCAGCGCCTCCCAGACCTGCCAGTCCAGCTCTAGGGTCAAGCTCTGAGCCCCCTCCTCCAGCCCCCATGGCTACTGCTCCGGTTCAGTGCTCTCACCTCTGAGCTGCCTGGGGCGCGCTAGACTACTGCCTGCGGGTAGCCTGGGGTGTGCACATGAACACAGAGGCCCTGAGCACCCACCTCTCAGGGCTGTGGAGGGTCTGGGGAGTGCAGGGGAGGGAGGGGACAGTCCGGACGGAAAGGGAGGGACTCAGGATGCATCTCTGAAGCCCAAGCGTGTAGAATGACAGGTGATAGGTGAGGACGTCGCTGACCTCGGCCTGACTCCGTTGACAGGAGCAAGCTGAGGCTGAGAAGAGCTGGCCGACTGGCCTGCAGAGCTGACCCCCTCGCCCCTGCCCGCCGCGGACAGCGTCTCCCCTGTCCCCCACAGCATCTTCATCACACCGCCCGGTCCCCTTCCTGCCTTCTGTAAACTGTCCCCGGGCTGGGGATGGGGGGGCCCCGTCAGTGCCTGCCTCGTTAGAGCAGGGTCGGGGGGACCCAGGACGCGGGTGCTGGACGGCGCCAGGCTCCGGTGCGGACGCGACGCCCCCCAGGGTCCCGGGCCGGTCGGCGGGGCCGCGCGGGGGTCGTCGTGCGCGCGCCCCGGCCTTTGTGGGGCCGGACCCGAGGGACGTAGCGCCCCCTGCGGGCCACCAGCCCCACCGCGGCGAGCTGGCAGCCCCCAACATCGGATGGCCCCTCGCCTCCGGGGGCACCTTCGCCCCGCGAGGGTCTCCCCCGGCCCCTGGGCCAGGCAGGGATGAAGGTTGCGCGCCCGAGGGGCTCCGGCTCGGCTCCTGACTCCGGGTCTTCGGGAGACGGAGGGATGCCCCGCGCCCCTCCCCACGGCTTAGCTGCTCCCTGGGGCGTCGGGGGTGGGGGGGAAATTCAGACTAGAGAGACCCCCCACACCCCCACTTCACCCCGCTGGAGCGCGGCCCCCACCCCCACCCCGGACTGGGGACGAGGGAGCGCAGGATTAGGTGGAGGACGTCGCCCCCTGCTGGCCAGACCTGGTATTCGTTCAGGCAGGGGTGGAGGCGGCCTCCTGTTCCCTGGGGGTCTCCCTCTCTCCTCTCTCTCTTCTCTCTCTCTCTCTCCCTCTCTCTCTCTCTCTCTCTCTCTCTCGTCCATATGCATCGTTCTGAGTGCCTGGGCCTACTGGTATCAGCATTTCCCTTCCATCCACCCCCCTATCACCAGAGATGTGCCCAAGCCAAATATCTTCATTTAATCAGAACTTCCGTTGACCAGAGCTGTGTGGTGAGATCTGAACTTAGGTTGTCTGGCTCTGGAACAGAATCCATAACGGCAGGGTGGTCGGTGCCCTGTGGGGTGCCTTTGCGGGCCTTCTACCCTTGCCCAGAACATTCCAGAAGTCTCATGTCCTTAGCTCCTCTGATCCCACAACCGCCTTTGAGGAACATTTCCCTCCTCTTACTGTGGGGACTGTTCTGGGTCACCAGGGCCACTGTGTTAGGGATGGGACCCAGGTCCTTAGCTGGGCCTATCACGCTACCACTTGGACCACATCCCCGGGCCAAAGGAAAAGCTTCCCTTGAATCCTCATTTTATAGCTTAAGAGATGGTGGTTCGCCGAGTTTAAGGAGGCTCCCTAATGAGTGTCAGTGGCAACAGGCCAAGAGCAGGTGAGGACAGAGCTGCAGGCTCTGAGGGAAAGACGGCGAGAGCACAGGAGACTGGACCAGAGTGGCCCCATGTGACTCCTGGTGTGGGGTCTCCCCACGCGGCCCCCCGTTCTGGAACACCGAGGTCCCGAGGGGAGACCAGGGCTGTGCCTCCTTTCTGATGACAGACCTGGCTGGTCACCCTCTTGGCATCTCAAGGGGCTGCCGGCTGGTTCACCCCACCCTGCCTGGCACACCCTGGCCTAGGTGCCAGGCCCTCCTCAAGGGGCAGGGACCTGACGGTGCTGAACTGGGAGGGACAACCTGGGAGGGTGACCATCTGCCTGCTCTGCTCCCACACCTAGCTCTTCCTATGCCTGCACCCCCACCATCACACTCTGGGCCTTTCTGTCCCCAAGAGGGTCCTAGGGACAACGGGGAGGGGGAGATGGGGTGATAACGAGGTGGTGAGCTGGAGGGTCTCAAGGAGGGCTTCTGGAGAGAGAAGAGGCAGAACAGAAACCAGAAACAGCGGCAGCGGCAGCGGTTTATTGGGACGTCCCCACCCCAAACACCAGCAGCCCTCCCCTACATTGTTGATCAGAAATAAATAAGGTGGCATTTAAGAAGCCAGTCTGTCGCCTGCTAGGGAGCTTGGGGGAGGGGAGCCTTTGCTGTCTTAGGGCTGGGATCCCTTTGGCTCCTCAGCAGGGGGGCTGGGGAAGGGGCACCCAGACTGCAGGCCACCCCGCTCTGGCCAGACCCTGGGGTAACTTATAGGCTGGGCTCCGCATTCCCAGCCGAGGCCCAATATGTGTCTCTTCTGCCCCCGGGACCTTTCAGGGCCCGGACCCTGGGGCCCTCCCCGGGTCCCATGAGGGTCCCTGCTTGTGTCTCAGTGAGCGGTCTGTGGAGTCAGCGCTTCCCTCAGCCAGAGGACCAGCTGCGGGAGAAGGAAGCTTTGCCCTCACGGATTGGATTTCTCTCTTTTCTTCCCTGCGGTTCGGAGGCCGAGGGGCTGGCCCCTGCCTGGTGCGGCTCAGTGCGCCGTCAGCTCCATGGTCTTCTTCCGCTCCTCCCGATGCTCCTCCCAGTCCTCCTCAGGCTCGTAGGTGCCCTTGACGATGGCCACGCGCTCACTCAGGCTCAGGGAGTGCGGGAAGAGCAGGTAGAAGTAGAGGATGGCGGCCAGGGCAGCTCCCACGATGGGCCCCACCCAGAAGACCTGGTGGATTCAAGGCAGCAGGTCAGGGGCCCGAACACAGGCCGAGGGAATGTCCAGACCGCCAGGGGACACTTCACAGGAACAGAAGTCCCAGTTTCCAGCGACAAAGATTCGAACCACAGACATCCAGGTTCCTGGCTGGTCACCCTCTTGGCAGGGCAGGGAGATGGCTCTGGGGTTACTGCATGGCTCCGCATGCAGCCACATCCATCCCGACACTGCGTGGTCTCTGAGCAGAGAGCGGAAGTGCCCCCACCCGACACAAATGAAAGATAAAAACATTCTCCAAAGGAGCCAGGGAGACCTCTGGCCTTCCACATCCCCCTTAAAAAGAGACAAGTGAGGGGGCTGGAGTGATAGCACAGCGGGGAGGGCTTTTGCCTTGCATGCTGCCGACCTGGGTTCGATTCCCAGCATCCCATAAGGTCCCCCGAGCACTGCCAGGAGTAATTCCTGAGTGCAGAGCCAGGAGTAACCCCTGAGCATCGCTGGGTGGGACCCCAAAAGCAAAAAAACAGAGAGGGGGGGGAGAGAGAAATGAACCTCCTGAGGGACTGGCAGATCCCCAGGGAGAAAAACACAACCCCCATCCCTTCCGCACAGGGCGGGAGAGAGGCCGTGAGCTTCTGAAGGAGGTGGCAACTGTCCAGAGAAATAGACCCACAGGATGGAGGATGTTCCTGATGCCTCAAGTATCAGACACACAGATCACCAGAGAAACAGACACAGAACCCTCAGATACCCACACAGGGAGAGACGCCCCTCCCTGGCGGGGCAGACACACGGAACCCAAACCCTAACCAGGTAGGACCCCCGGCCTGGGAGTTCAGTCCATATAAACGCACCCCGGATTTGTTCTGGCTGCGGCCCAGTCTGAGTGAGTCAACCTGGAGCCATCCTCAAGGCCTGGGCTCAAGTGCTCAGAAAGTCCAGGCAGTTCTGGACTGTGAGGGCACGTTGCTAGGCCTTTACTCCAGGGGGCTGGGGAGGACAGGACTCACCCAGTGCGCGGGACTGAACCTCTTCATGACCACTGCAGGGCCGAAGGAGCGGGCTGGGTTCATGGAGCAGCCGGTGAAGTAGATCTGGGCAGACAAGGTGTTGGTAAGGAGAGCCGGTGCCTCTGTCTAGGGCTTCACCTAGGCAGCCCCTGCCCCTGGCCCCATACACCCCTTCTCTGCCCTCCGTCTGGGCTTGGCTTCCTGGCCCTGTCACAAGCACCCCTCACTTCTTATCTCTCGGGGGCTCACGTCTAGGCAAGCATGCGGAAGCCCCACTCCAGATGCTCCTGCTGCAGTCCTGCTGTCTACCCTGAGGGCCCCCCCAAACCACAGCAGCATCGCTCACCCCCACCAGGTGGCCCAGTGTGACCGACAGGCCGATGGAGAGGGACGGGGAGCCGACCGGGCTGGTGCGGCGGGCGTCAGTAGAGGAGAAGATGCAGAGCGCCAGCTGGAAGGTCAGGATCAGCTCCACCACCACTGCCTGGCCCGGCGTTATGTTGTTGTTGAGCTGTGAGGGGGGCTGGGTTAGCAGGACCCCTGCCTTCTAGCACTCAGGATGGAGGGGTCAGGGAACGGGGCTTCTGGCTCTCAAGGACACCGAGTGCCCAAACATCTGGAAAGCTGGGCCCATGTGTGCCACGTCGGGGAGGTCGCCTGCCAGAGGCTGCATCCTCCATTCAGGGCGCACGGCTTAGAGCGCGGGCCCAGGGCCAAGGCATAGAGTGTGAGTGGCGCTTTTCCTGGACACAGTCCTGTCAACAGTTCTGCCCAGCCCCCCGCCCCCACAAGCTGGCATTTACCCTCCCTCCTGTGGGCAGCTGCCCAGTTTGCTTACTGCACCCCCAGCCAGCCTCCCGCCCGTGCCTAATCCGCTGCCATTGCCAACCTCAAACCCGTCTCTCCGGTGGCGCTGAGTCAGAGCTTGACAATGGGAGAGAAAATCCTCCTGTGTTTGACTAATGAGCCCAGTTTTCAGGGGACGTGGGGTCTGACTGTGGGGAGGGGAGGCCGCAGAGGGTCCGAGGCAGGGACAATAATCAGCAGAAAGTGAGGGGTTTGCACACGTGGCCACTACTGCAATCAATCCCTCCTTCCACTGTGGTGGCAGCTGGCTGTCCCCACCAAATAGCCAAGATCAAGGGGACCTAGAGGGGCCAGGGCCACCGAGGGGCAAATTGCCACCCGTCTCTGGCTGACAGTCCCGTAGAATTGCTCCCCTGAGCATGGAGAGGAAAGGTGGGGGCCCAAGAGGAAGGTGTTGAACCAGAGGTGAATCAGGACAGTGTGGGCAGCGGAGTGGGTAAGGGTTAGCAAGGGGACAGACACACAGCGCCATGGAGATGCACCTTCCTGACAACGGTGGGCTCTGGCCTACCAGGTGGCACCCCATGCCGGCGTGGGGGCTTCCCGGCCACGGTGGGCTCTGCCCCCCCCCCCCCCCCGTGGCACCCCGATGCGGGCGTGGGGTCTTCCTGGCCACGGTGGGCTCTGGCCTCCCAGGTGGCACCCCGATGCGGGCGTGGGGTCTTCCTGGCCACGGTGGACTCTGGCCTCCCAGGTGGCACCCCGATGGGGGCGTGGGGGCTTCCCGGCCACGGTGGGCTCTGGCCCCCCAGGCGGCACCCCGATTGGGGGCGTGGGGGCTTCCCGGCCACGGTGGGCTCTGGCCTACCAGGCGGCGCCCCACGCGGGCGTGGGGGCTTGCCCCCCGTCCACCCCCGGCCCTCCGGCCCCCCGCGCGCCCGGGCACTCACCGCATTGACGGCCAGGTTGCCGCGGGCGTTGAGCGGCGCGAGCGCGTACAGGATGCCCGCGCCCGCGATGGCGCCCACCAGCTGGGCCACCACGTAGAAGAGGGCGCGGAGCAGCGAGATCTGGTTGCCCACGAGCAGGGCCAGCGTGATGGCCGGGTTGATGTGGCCGCCGCTCACGGGGCCCAGCGCCTGGGCCAGCGTGCCGATGGCCAGGCCGAAGGCCAGGGAGATCTGCAGGATGGTGGGCAGCGCCGAGGGCCACTTGAGCGCCGAGCCGAGGCCGAAGAAGACGAAGATGAGGGTGGCCAGGAACTCGGCGAACACGGCCTTGCCGAAGGCCACGGAGCACACCTCGCGCTTCATGGTGCCCGCGGGGGCCGGGCGGCGGCGGGCGCGGCGCGGGGCGCCCGTCGGGGCGGCGGGGGCGCGGCTGGCGGGGGGCACGGCGCGCGGCGGGGCGCCCGGGGCGAGGCCGGCGGCATGGCACGGGCCCGGCAGGGGCGCGCTATATAGAGGGCGGGCGCCCCGCGGCGGGCCGGGCGCGGGGGGGCAGGGGGCGGCTCCCGGGCCCGGGGCCCAGCGCAGCGCGCAGGGGGGGCGCTGGGCCGCGGCCCGGGGCTCGCCGCTGCCCCGCGCGCCGGGCGCCCCCGGCCCCGCGCCCCGGCCGCCGCCGCCGCCCCGCCCGGGACACGCGATCCAGGCGGCGGTGTAGACGGGGCCCCCGGCCGGGGCCCCTCGCATGTCGCGGCGGGCGGCTGCGCGCCGGGCTGGGCTCCTGGGCCGCGCTCCCCGGGGTGCGCCGCCCTACGGGGCTCGGGCCGACCGCCGCCGCCGCGGGGCCGCGCTCTCCGTCGGGGGTGCGAACTCGCGCTCCTCCTCGGGCCCTGGGTCCAGCGACTCCTTCCCCTGCGACCCGGGCATCCTGACCTCTCCCAGGCAGGGCCGCAGGGATGTGCTCCTCGGAGCGCGGAGACACTCGGCTCCCTGCCGGCCCGTGGCGGAGGCGGGCGGCGGGCTGGGCCGTGCGGGGCGGTCCGGCCTCCGCGGGCCTCTCCCGGGCCGGCCAGGCGGGCCTCCGGGCTTGGAAAAGCGGGCACCCTGCCAGCCTTCCCGCGATTGGCAATCCTCGACGCCCGGCACGGCCCGCAGTCCCGCACCTCCTGGGCAGCCCCCGGGCCCGGGGTCCCGCCCGGCCCTGAGGGACGCGGGGGACCAGGACTTTGTGCGCGAGACTCGGGGTGGGGGCGCAGTGTTCAGTTCGGTTGGGTGCTGGTTCAGTCTAGGGAAACGGTCTGGGGACTTGGGGGGAGCACCGGGGGGCCGCAGGGTGGGGGTGCGCTGTGGGACCCCCCGCCTGGTCTCGGCTTCTCTCTGCTCCGAACAGCCGTTCTAGACCTCGGATTTTCGGTTTGCTCCTCCCGGACCCTGTTTCTCCCCTTACACCCCCACTCTCCCGCTTGCACCCCCACCTTCTCCCTCACCCCACCCCCTCCCGTGTCCTGCTCCTTCTCTTCCATCCGCCTTCCTCCTACACCCACTCATCCTGCTGCACCCACAACTGCACCCCACCTCCTCCTGCACCCCTCTTCCTCCTGAACCCCACTTCTTCCTGCACCCCACTTCTTCCTGCACCCTGTCTCCTCCTGCTGTGCCCTGTCCTCTCCTCTCGGACACTGATCCTCTTCCTAATCCTGCTCTCCTTTCTGCACCCCACTTCCTTCTCTCCATCTCCTTAGTCTCCCTCCTCAAACCCTCATCTGGTCTTGATCTCTCTCCTTGTTGCAGTCTCTCTGCCTCTCCTGTTTCTCTCCCTCAGTCCTTTCTCCAAACCACCTTCCTTTGCACCGATCTATCTTTAATCAGCCGGTCCCTTCCCCCTACCATTCTTTCTTCTCTCTCTTTTTCTCTCTCTCTCCCCTCTCACCCCCTCTCGATTCAATCTCACTCTACTAAGTTCTCCTTCTCTGTCACTTTCTCTTCGGTTTCCTTCTTCTTATTCCTTCCTTCCTTCCTTTTATAGTCTTAACCTTAATTTCTTTGTCTCAATATCGAGTCATCTTGGTTTCTATCTCCAGTTCCATCTTTTCCCTATGACATTTGAGTTACGTGACTTTCCTTGTCTTTGTCTTTCTCTACCTCATCTTCTACATCTGACTCTTAAATGTACCTTTTTGTTGTTGTTCACACCCAGAAATGCTCAGGGCTCACTCCTGACTACATTCGGGGTTACTCCTGGTGATGCGTAGGGGATGCCAGGGGTGGAACCTGGGTCAGCCGTGTGCAGGCCAAGTGTCCTACCCGCACAACTATCTCTTCTGCCTCAGCCTTCCTTCCTTCCTTCCTTCCTTCCTTCCTTCCTTCCTTCCTTCCTTCCTCCTTCCTTCCTTCCTTCCTTTCCTTCTTTCGTTCATTCTTTCTTCCTTTCTTTTTCTTTCTCTTTCTCTCCCTCTCCCTTCTCCTTCCTTCCTGTCTTTCTTTTCCTTCCTTTCTCTTTTTCTCTCCCCCTCCTGTTCTATTTGTTTTTTTTTTTATTGAATCACTGTGAGCTACAGTTATAAAACTTTCATGTTTGAGTTTCAGTCATACAATGATGGAACACCCGTCCCTCCATCAGTTCTCCCCTCCCTCCCTTTCTTTCTTTCTTTCTTTCTTTCTTTCTTTCATTCAACTTTCTTTCCACACCCAGCTGTGTGCGGGGCTTACTCTTGCTCTGTGCTCAGGGATTACTACTGGCAGAACTCAGGGGACCATATGTGGTGCCAGGTACTGTCCCTGGGTAATCTGTGTGCAAGACAAGCACCTTAACCCCTGCACTCTCTCTCTAGGCCCATGTGTGGTCTTTTTCAGTTCCCCAGAGGTCAGGTCCTCTTCCCTGCTGAGCTGGACCATGTTCCTCCCAGTTCCCAGCCCCCTCCTGTCTTTATCCCTTCCCTCTGAGCTTCCAGAAGCGTTTTCACCCTACCGGCTTAATAACCCTGTTTGGTGGTGGTGGTGGGGGGGGCAGGGGTTACTGTGGGTGCGGGGAGGAGGCTTCCCCTTTAGGGCAGCGACGGGGCAGAGATCCCTGCATGCTCCCAGGAAAGCAGCACCTTCCACCTCCCCCCACCCCCAGCAAGCTGCACTCAGGAAGCATTTAGCATCAAGCGTGGCTTAGGCTGCCAGGACCGGAAAGAGCCCCCAGGGGCTCCCAGGGCCAGCGGGTGGAGCAGAGGCAGAGAACAGGTGCTTCCTCTGTCGTCCTGCAGGTAGAGGCTCAGGGGAGGAAACCCAGTCTCCGGGCTCCTTGGCAGCCAAGAGGCCAAAGAAAACGGGACTGAAGAAACCCCACTATTGTTCCTGCTCATTTCCTGCTGGAGCCGCCCCTCCCCCAGGGCTCTCCTCTGAAGGCAGGAGGTCTGTCCGTCCTTTCCCCGTGGTCCTGGCCCTGCCCACGGGGGAGCGTGGCCGCTGAGCCAGGATCTGCAAGTGGGCGCGGGCTCAGGGCTTGTGGTGGGCCTGATCCCGCGGCATCGGTGACCCTGAGGGGCAGGAGGGGACGTTGGGGAGGACAAGTGCAGTGTGGCCACAGCCCGCACCCTGCCTTCCTCCCCCGCCCCTCATGCTCTCACAGATTCAGTCTTAAACTCACTCTTCTTGGAGCAGCAACAGCTGGGCAGAAGAGTCAGGGCCACCAGAGGAAGCTCCTACTTCGAGCTCCAATTTTTACAGCTGATTAGACTTCAATCTCCACCAGGAGACTGAATTCTGAATGAACTGTGAGGAAACCAGCTTCTCAGGTCACTTGTCCAGAGCCACACAGTGACAGACGGGACCAAGATGAGCCCAGGGTGACTGAAGGAGACACCCCCCACCCCCAACCCCTGCCCCATCAAGGCTACTCAGAGGGCAGTTGGTTCTGTGTCCTAGGTGCTTCCAACTCTCTAGAACCATCAAGGTCGCTGTGTCCCTAGATTGCCACAAGAATTTATTGGTACTGTCATGTTTGAGTGCATGGGCCCTGAGTGACAACTCCCAGAGGAATGCTGCCCCAGAACCTTTTTGGAATAGCTCATGAGTCTTCTTATTTGAGACTATAAAAACCAGATCCCGGAACCGCGCGGCCACATTTGCGGCCGCGTGACATTTTATTATGACATCTCATTCCTACTTTGACAAACTGGCAGGCTACCGAATGTAGCCTGCCCACACGGCAGAGTCTGGCAAACTCCCTGTGTCGTACCCAATATGCCAAATACCAGTAGCAATGATGGGTCTCATTCTCCTAAAGAGCCTTGAATATAACCTCAGGGCTAGGATGAAGGAGACGTTACTGGGGCCTGCTCGAGGCAATCGACGAATAACAGGATGATCTGTGATCTGTGATCTTCTTATTTGTGGCAGGAGGAATTTGAATCTCTCAGAGATTCCATTTGAATCGCTGTCTTATATACTGATACAGGGACCCCTGGATTCTCTGGGAGCTGTTGAGGTAGGGGGTAGAAATGGTAGGCTACTGGTCATTGGTGATGCTCTGCACCTCCCTAGTGTTGGGGCAAAGTTCATTCATTCATTCCACCAGGCATTGTACAGTTACTGTTCATGCAGTCCACTATTGAAGTTCACTGTTCATGTGGTCCACTATTCATGCACCTCTGCTCATGTAATTTACTGTTCTAGTCACTGGGGCTGGTGGAGGGGTGGGGGGAGATCAAGTCAGGATCAAGCGGCTACAGCCTTGCCTTGTGGAGCTGATTATTGCAGTGAAAGGAGACAGACAAGGGCTTATGCAAGTCACCCGGTGCAACAGAATCTCTCCATGCTGTGAAAATATACGGCATGTTTAGGGGACTGGATATCTGGGGTAGAGGTGGAAGTTTTTAAAATTTTTAGCTTTCTCTCACCAGGGATCCCACATCCAGGTGCCTGCAGCTGAGAACCTGGCAGCTGTCCTGTGATGGACCCCAAGGGAGAGGGCCTAGAAGCTGGCTTAGAGGTTCAGGAAGTGCTCAGGGCAAGGAGGTGCTGAACCTCTCCCCAGAGCCCTGCTGGGGCCAGATCAGGGTCTCACGCTTGCTCTGGAAGCTTCCTGAGCTGTGGAGCCATATTCCGAGTCTCCATTCTTTGGATTTGTTTGTTTGGGGATCATACTCTGTGTTGCTCAGGGCTACTTGGGGGTCACTCCGGGTGGCCTTTGGGGGACCATGTAGTGCCAGGCATTAAACCCTGTCTGGTCTCCCACTGGCAAAGTCACCAACCGTCTGCCAAGCCCCCAGTGTTCTTTGTCTATGTAAATGCACCATCCCAATAAGTCTTACTGAGGGCGTGGCTCTGAGCAAAGGCTGGAGGAGGATGGAGAGCAGGGGCGGCCATCTGAAAGGTGGCCCAAGCTGGCCGAGGGGAAAGAGCAGGCAGATGTGGCGCAGGACTGCAGGCTTCACCTGAGAGGAGGCAGCGCTG